TTTCAAACATCTTCAAAGTAATAAGATATTTTATTTTCCTTTCTTTCGATCATTTTTTTTTCTCTATCTATTATGAATTTTTAATTTTTTGATTTATTACCACGGTTTGAACTGTGTTAAGAAGAGATGTTCTCTATTTTTTCTTCTTCTTATAGACAAGGGTGAAAGTTTAATGGAGCTAATGCAAACTTAGAATATAAAAATCCTAGAATTCACACTCATAAAAAAAAACCTAATAAAACTAAAATTAAATTTGGTTGATTAAACCTAGACGCAACAATTACCTAAACTGCTCAAAAACATCTTCACCTAATAATTATAAAGAATTGAGAATAAAAAGTATAAAAAAAAACTAAAAAGACAATTATTCTTTGAAAAATTAAGATAATTCAATAAAAAATCAAAGATTTCAGAATTCTCTTTTATACAAGCAAACAATATATATATAATCTCCTATAGTACTTACATTGTAGTTTTTAATTTTTAAAACTTATTTACCTTCAAATTTTACTTGATTAATTATTTCAATTTAATTTATAACTAATTATTCTTATATATATGTGATGTATTAGGTTCTGGAATTAGTTAAACTGGATATAAATTACAATTCTAAATAAAATAAAATTAAATAAATTAAACAATTTAACTTATTATAATTCAACAAATTAATTAATTTATAAATCAAGTAAAATATATAGTAAAGAATCATAATCCACAAAATATATTCTATAACACTATCCTAAAATGTAAAACAAATTCTATACACGCATATATTTTTTATTTACAAAGACAACAAGAGACAGGAGACACCATTTAACAATATGATTATTATAAATTATGATTTTTATAAAAATAGTTATAATTTGATGTATTTTTTATTTTTTTGGTGGGAAATCTTGTTTTTTATTTTCAATAAATAATCATGTTTTTTATATATATATATTTTAAATAGAAAACTGTAAAATAAAAGAAAAGAAAATAATTCCATGTTATTGAACACATCGTAATTTGCCCTTTCAAGTCTTCCCTTAACCCCAACTATTTATGAGGTTTCTTATCAATTAGGGCTATTTTAGTGAAATTATTAGATGTGTTCGATTCATTAATAAGAATATAAATTTCTAAGATGTTGCTTGTTCCAGTGCCTTGAGTACGATTAGACCAGTAAAAGAACTCAACTCCTCATGAAATCCTTAATCCCACAATTCTTCAATGTATTTTACTTGAAACTCCATGAAAAACAAGTCAAACACAACTCATCCTAAATTCCCCCCTATGATCCCTTTTCAGGGGTCTCATCAACTAACATTTGACTTTATAAAAGTAGTTCTATAAAATTTGATTTTTATGTTTAGTTAAATTTAGTTTTATTATCACGATTATTTCATCAATTAAACTTAGTTTTATTTAAGTTAGGCAAAAAATAACTAGTTTTTGCATAAAAATAATCTATTTTTAACAAAAATAAATATTAACTTTAGTTAATTTATTTTTTTAACAAAAACAACAGATGGAATGATCATAATAATAAAACTAAAATTATCTATATAGAAAAATCATAGGACTAAATAAAGAAATGAGCTACAAAAAAGAAAAGGAAGATTTTTCTTATCCATAAATTGCATAGGTTAGGCTTTTGGGTCTCAAGTTACATACATTTGAGGCTCTGTTTATTTATAAAAACGCTATTTTTTTTAGAAAATAAATTATAAAAAAAATAAATTCCTGAAAAATGAATTATTTTTTGATGTTTGGTAATATTATAGAAAATAAATTGAAAAACACTTTCAACTGTTTGGTTATGTTATGAAAAATAAAGTGGAAAATAATTTATTAATATTTTATTTTTCTCAGGTTTATTAAAATAATAAAAAATAAATTTTACAAATTAAAAAGTTGAATAAGAATGAAATTGAAAAAAAATATAATTTCATAAATTATCTCAAATAAAATAAATAATAATCAAAATAGTAAAGATCAAATCTAAAAAAAAAAAGATGAAGAAATTAAAATAATAATAATTAACATTTCATAAAGTATTTCAAATAAAATAAGTAACAATTAAAAGAATGAGCACCAAATTTGATAAATAAAAAATTTCAATAAAAAATAATAGGAGAAAAGCAAATAATAACTATAAAAATGAGGACCAAAGTTAATATAAAAATTAAATTTTAAGAAATTAAATTGAAAAATAAATATTCAAAACAAAATATATATAGCAATCAAAAGTTTGATGATTAAATTTGATATAATTAGCAAATAATGACATTTCTAAATTTTTCACAACTTTCAGAAAATGTTTTTCGCCTAAATTTTTCAAGAAAACACGTTCCTGAAAACCAATTCAAATTTTTCTTTAACTGAAAAGTGTTTTCCGTTGATTAACTTTCTTAACAGCAAATAAACACAAAAAAGTTTGAAAAATGATTTTCTATAAATCACTTTCTGAAAAACAAATATAACAAAAAAGAAAAATACTTTTTTGAAAACCAAGTCAAATTTTTCTTTAACTGAAAATTATATTTCGTTGACCATAAAGTATTTTTCATTAACTGAAAAATATTTTTTATTGATTGGAAAATATTTTTTGTTGACTAACTTTTTTAACGATAAACAAATATAAGAAAGTTTGAAAAATGATTTTTTAGAAATGACTTTTCAAAAAATAAATATGGCCTTAATTATAAAACTAATAAAATTGTGTTAGTTTGAGAATTTTTTTTTTCCAGCGTGTTATTATGAGAAATATTTTTTTTTGGTCATTCCTTTAGTTTCCTTTTATATTTGTAATTGTAAAATGTAATTGCAATATCCTGTATGTAGATTGGAAAATGCTACGAGGCAAGTGAATTATGCAGAATCCCACTGGGCGTTTCTTTCCTTGCAAATGAAAAACAGTCATGCACACGCAATGCTAACAAGGTCGGGCAAAAGAAAAGATTTCTTTTGTAGATTTTCTTTGGCCTTTGCAATATTTGCTCCCATATGCTTCTGACGTAGGCCGAGGTACTCTCAAAAAGCAAATGATTCCTTATCTCTCATCTTGCTGTTGGCAAAGAGCACAATCAGGATCAGTTTTTCTTCTCCATCTAAGCTGCTTAGCTTCAGTGTAAAGCCTATCCGACGCACTGTGTTTTGGTATGAAAAGAGAACCCCACAACCAATCTACTTTTGTAGCTTCGATCCTCAAGCTACCCCATGTACTTTTGATCGACAAATTTCCCTTCGAGCCCAGCTTCCAGGAAATTATGGAGTCCTCTTCGTCGCTGTTAGGATAAATTATCCCACAAGCTGCTGCTATCGTTACTAGCATAAAGGCTAGCTATCCACAGGAATTTCCTATTATGATACTGCAGCCTTTGCACTATAAGATATACCAGTATTGAACATGATGCTACTCTCATATGTTCTCCTGGCAAGTGGTAGGTATGGATGCTCATTGTCCCAGAGAAATTTTTCCTCTTAGTGCATCATGGAATTCGATTCCCACTAGAGACTGAAGGTGGCAGTACATTTGTCCAGAAAAATTCTTCTCCCTATTAAAGTCTTCATCAATGCTTGGCTTTTGTCACTCCATTAGAATTCTGCACAACTGACTGTAAACGAAACCTCACATTAAGTGCCAACAAGCAGGCTAAAACGGATCCAAGCAAGTCTGATCAACCCTTTGAAAGATGAATTCTGGACGTGCTTAGATTTGTGAATAAGCTCAGTCATTCATCAGACTGTAGCTTTTATAGCCAGGAGAATCAACATTGGAGATACAGAACATGAAAACAGATCTTTACCCGAATTGTTTGCACAGATGATTCCAAGTAGAAATGTAGTCAAAAAAAGAAAATTCAATAACCAAGTGAACTAAGACAGCCCTCATTTTGGGTCCAAGAACATGAAGATCTACCTTGATCCCCGTATTAGCTGCAGTGCCTGTATGATTCTCAATGCTGGTCCAATGGGCGGTGCAATTCAAGTCTAGCAGTTTCTCAGTAGCTATTACATAAAATTGGTAAATCTTGAACATTTTAGAGCAGGGATGGACTCACATTCACCAAGACATGAATGCCATGCTAAGCAAAATCAAAAGTGAATTTAGTGATGACTGCAAGTCACGTACCCTTTGGAAACTGGAGAAAAACAGAACAAAGGGCAAGAGAGAGAAAAAAAATATATCAATCAGTTGGTGACAGATATTATACAAGCACACACGCCCGCAGCCTCAAGCAGCAAAACTGAAGCAGGAGGTATCTTTAAGGATTTTATCCTGAAAATAACACCATAAAAAAATAAATCAAAACAAGAAAAACACCATGTACCTCAAGCCAACAAAAAATCGACAGAAAAATGAAACTGCTAACATCATAAACATTAATCCTAACAGGAATGACAGGACTATCTTTACTTACCATACCATCAGTTCCTGCATTACAGTCCTTACAGTACAGTCATAATGCTTACAGTTTACACCCTCCGAACCAAGTGCTGGGCCTCCTGGCGGTGCAGGAGCTGCTTTCCCTTCCTCTAAAGCCAGTTTTGTCAAAAATTAAAAATTTACAAAATGAAAATGTAAAGGCTTTGCCATCTGACTTTGGAAGGGGCCATTGCTACAAATGAAAGGCTGATGAAAGAAGTGTTGTACACAAAAGTCCATCTCTTTTCAAAATTACTGTCAAGGCTGTCAGTTGACAGACTTGCCTCTTGACCTTGATTTTTTTGTGTTATTTTCATGGACACATTGGTTTTTATGTATTTTGATGATCCTCCATGGATACCTTGTTGAGAAGGCAAAATTCATGGCAAGTGATATACTGATGGAATTTATCATCAAACCAAAAACCAGCTGAGAACAATGATAAAAAAGATGTCGATGAATTCTTCTGTTAAAGAAAATTTGAATGTTAATTACTTTCCGTAACATCCATTACACAAGAAAAAACCTCTCACTAGTGTCTCCCGTTCGACTCCATTTTCTTGCCCCTCCAAACTCTTTTCTGCCTTGGCCCACCAACCCCTTTCTCTTATTTCAAGTTTTCAACCTCAATCGGCCTATCCAATCACTTAAAAAAAAAAAAAAAGACATACCTTTTACTCTCGTCCCACTTTTCACTCAAAATGTTTATTTGGGACAACTTTTTTCGACATCAAACAGTTGTCTTCACATTCCCCTCCATCACACCAAATTTCGGTGCCCAAATGGGGCTGCTCGTACTATTCTATTGCTATAGCTGTAATTTTTTTACTCTCCGAAACCTACATTAACCGATCTGATAAGCTCGGAAGCCGGCGGAAAAAGTTCAAGCTAGCCGGAGGCATTGGGTCTCTAAACATTGGGTGTCGTAAAAAATAGAATCCTAAGGCCACAGCTACCATTTTTGGTGGAACCACATATAGTATCAATGTTATAGCCAAACACACCGCTATGAACAATTTTGTGGCTCTCGGATCTCTCCAACTCACCAAAGCTTGAACCCTTTCCCCTTGGGTTGCAAAATCACCCAAAACTGTTTGGACTCGGGCTGCCAACATCCTTAACCTGTCATAACGGGCCCTTATAATTTCGGGTGGTTTCATGCTTGGTACTGTGTCGAATTCCTCATCTAGTTCATCCGAGTCAACGGTTTCTGCTTGTGATAACCGGATATCCATGCCTGCCGGTATCTTAGGTCTGAACCTATAGTACCAAACACCAATCAAGAACACATATAAGAACCCTGTTGGGACTACCAATTCCGGATACCAAACAAGCACCAAATACAAAAGATGAACCAATACAGTTGTGACCGAGTTTCTCCATCTTCGAATATCATCCAACCATTTAGCCAACCCGACAGCCCATGCAAGAACCGCTACGATTCGAAACCAATTGGCTTTACTCTTTCTCATGCTCCATGCATGAGAATCCGCATCCAGCATGTACCTGACCACCTCCGGTCCCAATGGTGGCTCGGACCGCGCAAGCCACAAAGAAACCATTTTGGTGGCGGCACCACGCAATGCCTCTTGCTGGGCTACCCCGAGTGGCCGAAGATAGTGCATTTTAGGAAGCAATGGCTGCCCATAAACTGCACAGGTATCCGGTAATAAACTGGGGCAAGCAAACCGAACTGCTAATTCTATCTCACCCATTTTCTTCAACCCGGTTCTTAATAAAACCAACAAAGGATACGAATTCATGTACACCTTGTTGCTCTCCAATGTAGATACTCGTATACGGATTTTCCCTATACGGCAATCAGGTTTATCATCAGACATTTCACCAAACATGTGCCAATTGTCGAAAACGCCAACGGTGAGAACAGTGCTAGGATCATAGACCTGCCAGGTATACTTCTCGTTCCAACGTGGCTCAAAGCTATCCCTGATAGTTCTTGTTCGGACCCATTTTTTGCCATACTTAGCCACACAATAGGCATCGGTCGAACCTGAGCCCCCTCCTTTGGGTTTCATGGGCAGTAACCCACGAGCCCCTAAAATCCCCAGCTCCAAAACCCCAATAGCTGGCTTCCATAGCTGCTTAGCCGTGGGTCTAAAATCACTGCACACGTGCGCCGCTTCATCAAGCACGTGATACCCTCCTTCCAAACAGAGACGCAAATGGATTCTCCCACGGCAGGACCCGCCAGGAGCACATCCTGCTCCCCCAGTGTCACCACCTCCTTCCAACGGGAACCATTTGGATGCCACGTGGCGCTCATCATACCGTTGCTCGATTGAGCTCACGGGAATTATGATGTACCCGAGGAGTACCGCTTCCGTGGTGGTACGGTCCTCCACTAGCAGAATCAATGACTCTTCCAGCGGCTCGCCGGCGACGAAAACTAGGTCATCGATCCATCGGAACGACGTACTATGATTGCTCATGGACCCTCGCCTCGTCCTCGCCGATTGGAATCCCAATTGAGCGTTGATTCTGATCTCCGGAACAGTCAAAGGTGGCAGATTGGACGAAATGTGAAGATCCTGAGCTTCAATGACCGTCACTCTCAAATACCACAGCTTAGGGGACTGGTAAACCTTTGAGCGCGTGTGAGCGACGTAAGGCGCGTCTGAGCTCCACGCTTCAGGAAACGCATCATCAGCTTGAGTCCCAATCCAGACAGAGAGCTGGATATCACCAGAAACCCTATTACAGCTCTGATCAGCGGCGGCGTCACTTTCCAATCGGTACCACTGAGGAGCAAGCGGACTGTCCGGTGGATCCCTCACCGGAACTTCAGAGATATCAAAGCAAACACCGCCGAGAAACTGCTCCGAATGTGCGTCCCAAACGGAGATCTCTAGGTTGCCAGCTGCATTGGGGAGCTGTCCGTCAGTCTTGTTATTATGACCCAATGCAAAAACCTGGTGCCACTCAGGCGAATCCGGTGAGGCACCAGGTCGGTAACTCGCTGGTTCAGACTTCATACGATAAGTTGTTGTCCTTACCTCGACGATAGGACTCTTGTTTTGCGATAAACCACGCGCCTTGACAATTCTGATGAACAAATACTGCATTGGTTCGACAAGATCGTAAGGATGGATCCTCTCCGTCGATTCCGACTTGAATCTGCCAGAAATTACTTTAGGAGAGAAATCTCCGATTGGCCTCCTCAATGTCTTCACTCTGTTATCACCACTGGACGCGACTCTCGTAGTCTGCATCCTCCTCACTTCTGGATGGTACTGAGTGTGGGTTTCCACGTAATGCGGCTCCTCTGGAAGAGGTACTTGTTGCGAACCTAGTGGTGGTTCCGAGTTTACCTGCACCACCGGCGGTGGAGACTCCTCGATAACCACAGAAGGAGGCGAGTGAGTCCCATTATGATGAAGATGTTGGTGGTGGGGGTGGTGATAGTCGTGAACTTCAAAAACTCTGCCTTGCTCCTCAATAACTGCCGGGGATTTTAGCAGCTCTTGATGTTGTAACGTATCTGCATCCTTCCCCGATGGAGCTGGAGCTTGTTGCTGATCCTCTTCAACTAACTCATCGTAATAACAAATTCTCAGACCGATTTCTCCCCTTATCCAGCTGAACACACTTTTCTTCTCAAGAGGGAAGTAAACAATCCCTTCTTCACCTCTTTTAGAAAACTGAGAGCCATACAGTTTAACCCTTCCCAAGAAATGGTTTTTACGGCCGCTACCATTGCCGAATCTCTTGTCATTAAAAACCTCGACTTCTAGCTCTTCGAACTCCATGTTGTTTGGGTCAGAAACGATGAACTCCAAGTTCTCGTTCCACACGGGGTTGAGGTCACGATATTTTGTGGAGGTTCGTTTTCTTTGACCGTCGAAGGTGGCGATGACATAGGCACTGGAGCTTCCCTGACCGTCTTTGGGGAGAAGATCCCGTGCGTCGAGTACTTCTACCAGTAGTTTCCGAACGATATATGGTGGTTGGGCCATGGCTTTTTAGTTTTGTTCTTTCATGGGGGGGCAGTAAATCAAAAACTGTCGTGGTCTTTTGATGGGAAAGTGAAGAAAAGAAAATGGCTTCTGCGGTATGAATTGAAGGAAGTGGACTGGAGAAAGGAAGGTAGAGAAGCGATGATAGCGGGGAGAGCAGCGAATGGGTGCCGCCTCTTCTGTAAGTGAAGGTATTATTTTATTCTTTTGAGGAGTTGCTTTTTGAATTTGTGTTTCTTTCTTTTGTTGCTTATTTGGACTTGTGTAGTCATGTTTACCCCTTTTTTTTATTATTATTCTATTCTGCTTTGCTTTAAGATTTTGAGAGGGAATGTTGGAGGGAAATCGCGAGAGAGAGAGAGAGAGAGAGATGGGGTGTGAAGGGTTGGGGATGAGATTCTTTATTTTATTATCTTTCGCAAGAAAGGGAATGGGATTCTATCCTCTCTTGCCAAGTTTTTTTTTTTTTTTTTCCCGAAAAGGGAATGAGATTTTATGCTTTCTCGCGAAGGTGTTTTTTTTTTTTTTTTTGCTTACAGAATAATTATAGCCCTCGATTACAATTATTCCTTTTCCTTTTCTTTTACCATCTTTGAACCCTAAACTCTCACGTTATTCGTGTCTCCTTGCATTTTTTTATCTCTCTCTCTCTATTCTGTACATCTTTGTGATCACTTGTTCTGTTTCCTTCAAACCCTTCAATGTCTATCCAAACCCACTAACTCTTTACTTTCTTTTCTTTCGGAATTTGAATGGATTTAGCACTGTTTGATTGGAATTTAAATGGAGTCAGTATTGTTTAATAATTGTTCTGGTTTTTTGAGACAGATTATTGATTCTTGTTCAATTGCAGACATGACAGGTCAATGTTTCTAGTTATTTTTCATATTTTATATTTCTTTTCTGATGTTCTGCTTTGGTATCTGATATTGGTATTTTTATCAAGGAGAAGCTATCAAGTTTATATTCTGTGAAGGACCTGATTTGATGTTTGTGTTCAAGTTCTGTACTCATTGTGGAGATTGCATGTCAACTGGTTTGGGACTGATTTTGAGTCAAGAAACTGCTTATCTTGGAAGAGAATCTCTACAAAGGATCCATTGGGTGTTGGTTCATACAATGACCAATGATGCATTCATGAGGTATCCAGACTGCTGATGTCCTTCAGTGTTTATTCAATAACTTGCCTTGTATTTTAGATTTTTCAGGCTCATTTTTAGCTCACTTGGACAAGATAGGAATTACTAGTCATCTAGAACCAAACTGTGTAATAGGTGAATTTGAAGGAGTATCCTAAAATGACTATATATTGCAATCCGTACACGCATTTCAGCTCCTTTACCTGTTCTACTCTTTCACTGTCCAGATATGCTTGGAGTGATGCAAAATATCCTCAATTCCTTAGGAAGGAATATGAATTTAACCCTTTGGAAAACTGGTTTTCAAAATAAAATTTGTTGTGGTATTTATCTCCTTTTATTAGACTTATATATGAATGTTACAGTATGGTTATTACTGAATTTTGAAGAGCTGTTCATATAATTATCATAGTGACGGCAAATGTGCAAACTGATACGGGGAGCATTTTTATATCTCACTAACTAGACTATAACATTATTCCCGATGATAATTTTGTTAATTATGTTGATTATGTTGTTACCAAACTGTAGATCAGAAAGAAAGAAAAACTTACTCGTGAGAATTTACTTTTTTATTTTTGGATTAATTATTTCAGTGCCACTTCAATTACTAGAACCAAAATAATATTCCACAGTATTTTTGTAAATCTTGTCAAGTCAATGCAGAGAATCAAGATGAGAGAAGAAAAAGACAAAACTTTGTTCTTTCAATAATGAAAACTTATCTTATTTCATATGAGTCATGTCACTTTATATATAATTAGAGGAGGCAACTCCTCTAATAACTTGGATCAGGCCCATCCATCATGGGCGGACTAGGCCTAGCCCAATAACTAACATCTCCCACTCACCTATGAAGGACTGAATCTCTTTAATACATTATACCTCAAACTTGCACAAGAATTTCATACTTGACAAACAGACCATGCGACCTGAAGCACACAGTGAAAGGAGCTCCAATATATAAACCTAATACAGGTCATATAGGAGACATCAACCTCATAATTAATTATTCCTTAAAGTGTACTAATATACCCCAAGCATTTTTAGTTACACATGACTGAATATAATTCAATCCCCTAAGAATTTTCATACTCAATCCATCCTTACAATTACAAGTATTCTAAATCATATCAAATCTATTCAAGTGATATGATCTCGACTGGTGAATACAAGTAACAGGTATAGAACTAAAATTACTTTTGCTTTCACTCTCATATCAATCAAATCTGAATTAACTCGCTTTCCTAAGAGTATTCCTTTAAGTCGAATAATTCCATGACTATAGGATATACTTCTAAAGTAGCGATCATTAATACATCACCTCATGATATAGTCAAAAGTCATAAAAGGTAAGACTTTTTTAGATCTTAGATATGATCTTTAGGACTCACATAATAAAGAAGCAGGAATCCATTTTTTTATTCCTGTAATGGTCGCTAGCACATGTAGTATGAAATACATGCTATAGTGGAGCTTACTCTTTTCTTTTCTTAAGACAAAGAGTGTATGTCGTTGCTCTCCTTGTTAGAGAAATACACTATACGAGTCTTAGTCTTGTTGCTAAATGCATAGACTTCAAATCAGAAATTCTCATTTGCTCATTTTTTATTAATGGCAAATGAATAATTTCATACTCGGCTTCAATCATAATAAACACATGAATGGCGGGAATTCATTCATGCCGATTCTTTTATTTAAAAACCTCATCTCGGTCCTAGTCAAGGTGACTTTTTAATAATCATTTTGAGTTAAAATTGCTCCCACTACACCCAAGTTGTTTCTTAAGCATTAAAACTCAAATAGTCTCATTTCTACTCACCTTACAAGTGCTAAAGGTGATTGCTCATGTGAGTGAGCCAATCTAAATCTATCGACATACTATAACAAATTATACTATACGATACTCATAATATATTCATGAAACAAATAATGAATAAAATGATATTCTAAAAGCATTTATTCATTACTTAATCACTATAAACTTTTTGTATGATCCTTAAAACTAATTACATTCTACATAGGCCAAGGGATCTCACATGTCTAACAAATGCATCTCTTGCTGTTGGTTTTATGAGTGGATCTGCAATAATAGAATTTGTAGAAATGTGTATTGCTTCTCTAATATAGTGATATCTTATTTTGATGTGTTTGGTCTTTCCATGGTATTTTGGATCTTTAGCTACAGCTATTGCAGTAGTGTTATCACAATAAATTGTCACTAGGTCTGATGCTGATTTGATAATTTTCAAATGATACATGAAATTTTTTAACCAAACAGCATCTTGTGTTGCTGCGGAACAAGCTACATACTCAACCTCCATGGTAGATAAGGTTAGGCAGGATTGTTTCTTGCTCCTCCATAGTATTGCACTATCATTAAGTAAGAAAACACATCCTAAAGTTGATTTGGATTGGTCAACATCTCCTTCCCAATCAGCATCAGAGAAACCAATCAATCACAAATCTTTCTTTCCTTTGTAACATAGCATGTAATTTGAAGTTTCTTTTAGATATCATAGAATCCTTTTGACTGCCATCCAATGTTTCTCACCAGGGTTTGATTGATATCGGCTAACCAATCCAACAGCATAACATATATCGAGACATGTGCACATTATTGCATACATCAAACTACCGACAACATTGGCATAAGATACTGTGGACATTTTCTCCTTTTTTTCTAGAGTCTTGGGACACATATCACAGCTTAAGCTCAAACTTTTATCAACAGGGGTGTCCATTGGTTTGCTATCTTGCATATGATAACGCTCTAACATCTTTTTGATGTAAGTCTCTTGAGTTAAACCCAAAGTTTTTTAGCGCGATCTCTTATAATTTTCACACCAAGTACATAGCTGGCCTCACCCATGTCTTTCATTTCAAAGTTTGATGATAACCATATTTTAGTAGTATCAATCATCACTTTGTTATTTCCAGCTATTAAGATGTCGTCAATATATAAGGACAATATTATAAAACTATTGTTAGAACGTTTTAAATACACATAATGATCTTCTTCCATCATTGTAAAACCATCCTTAAGGATAGCTTGATGAAACTTAATGTTCCATTGTCTAGAGGCTTGCTTAAGACCATATATGGATCTTTTAAGCTTGCAAACTTTGCGCGCTTGACCTTTAGTCTCAAATCCTAAAGGCTGATCCATATAGATCTCCTCATTTAGTTCTCCATTGAGAAATGCAGTTCTAACATCCATTTGATATAACTCTAGGTCTATATGTGCGACTATAGCTAAAATGAGGCAAACTGAAGTAATCTTCACAACTGGTGAGAATGTATCTTCATAATCAATTTCCTCTTCTTGTGTGTAACCTTTCGCTACTAGTCGAGCTTTATAAAGATCTATTGACCTGTTCACCTTACATTTAATTTTAAGAACCCATTTATTTCCAATGGATCTTCATCTTGATAGTAAATCAACCAAGTCCCAAACTTGATTAATTTTCATTGACTCCATTTCTTCTTCCATAGCTTTAATCCATTCACTTGCTTTAGGACCAGATAGAGCATGACTGAATGTTTTAGGTTCTTCATCATCTTGTGGAGTAATCATGAACGCTTCCCCCTCAATCTCAAATCGACAACGAGGAATTGGTTCATGAATACTTCTTCGAGGTTAAGATTGCTCATGATCTTGCTCCATGAGAGTAGGAATAGATAAAATATCACTCCCACTATGTTTAGGAGGATTAAAAATTTCATCTAAGTTCTCTATTTTATAGCTTGTTATGCCATAATCTAGATTTTTCAATTCATATAATTGAAAATCTTTTTCAACCTCACCTGTCTTTGAAAAAACCTTTTCTAAGAATACAACGTCATGCGATTCAATCTCCGTCACTCTTTTATCAGCTTTTTCACCAATAAATACAAATCCTTTGGAATATTAAAAATATCATATAAAGATACACTTCTTCCCTCTAGGATCAATTTTTCCATATTCATGAGAAGTATTGTGAATATAAGTTGCACACCCCCATGGATGGAAATAATCTAGATTAGGTTTGACATCATTCCATAGTTCATATAGGGTGGATAAGATAGATTTAGAAGGCACACGATTAAGTATGTAAGCAGCAGTTAACAATGCACCATTATCGACCTAACCATGTCAAATAGGGTTCTATTCCTCCTTTCTGCTACACCATTTTGTTGTGGAGTATAAGGAATAGTTAGCTGTCTAGCTATACCTTTTTCATAACAAAAGTTTTTAAATTATTCAGACAAATATTCACGTTCTCGATCAGTTCTTAAAGTTTTGATCTTGACACTTAGTCTATTCTCCACCAAATTGGTGTATCGAATGAAGCAATCCAATGCTTCAGACTTATATGAGATCAAATAAACATGACCAAACTGTGTGAAATCATCTATAAATGTGATGAAATAATTTCCTCTATGTTTTTCTCTAACATTCATTGGACCACAAATGTCTGAATGAATAAGTTGTAATTGACTACTAGCTCTTTTAGCTTTGCCAAATGGTAATTTAGTTGCTTTTCCAGCAAGGCAATGCTCACAAACGGGCAATTTCTCTTTAGAAAGTGATCCTAAAAGACCAACTCTTGCTAATCAATGTAATCGATCTTGCCTAATGTGTCCTAATCTAGTATGCCAAGTTATGATATTACTATCATTAATAGTACTAGAATTTTAAATAATATAAATTGAAGCATCATAATTAATAGATACATTAACGGTGTCTAACACCATAATACCAGAACCATAGAAAATATTATCTAGATGTATTTTTACACAACAACCAACAAACACAATTTTAAAGCCCAATTGGAGTAAAGTAAGAACAAACACAAGATTCCGTCGAACTTCTGGAGCGTAGAGCACATCATGAAGATAAAGTGTGCAACCACCCCGCAAATCCAGTTTGTAGGTACCGATCCCAAGCACAGCAACAGAAGCATTATTCCCCATATATATATATATATATATCTACTTCCTTTTGGAATTCGATGGAATTCCATAAAAGTTGTTCGATCCCTTGCTATGTGGTCAGTTGCTCCTAAGTCTATGGTCCAAAAAGGAACAGATTTAGCAAGCAATAAACAACTGCTAACGTATAAGTTAGAGGGATGATTGTGGTTAAACATTACCTTTGACTCAGTACAGTTACGAGCAAAGTGACTAGGTTTACCACAATTGAAACAATTCATATTCTTGTCTTTCTTACCGCCGCGTTTCCCACGCTTGCGTTTATGTCCACTACTACTTGCTTCTATTCCTCTCTTGCCATATTTGGGACCTTTAGCCTTACCCTTTTTATATTTAGAACCATATGCTTCACGCATCTTTATTTCAGATATAAAAGCCTCGTTTATAGGCTTTTCAGCTTGAAGTCGATCTTCTTCAACCTCGACATGACGAGCAACATCGTCAAATGTTTTAATGTTGTCATTGTGGGTAAGGTTAACATGTATGTGTTCCCAATTACTTGGCAAAGAGCGGATAACTGCTTGGACTTGTTGTTCATCAGTCATCTCATGCCCAACACCCCTTAATTCACTAATCATGTTAGACATGACTGTAAGATGCTGCCTCATCGTTTGATTTTGACGCTTCTTATATCCATTGAATTTGAGGGTTAACTAACGAAGTCTAATAGTGGAGGTTCCTCCATATTGAATCTTTACTGCATCCTAAACAGATTGAGCTGAACAATGCCTTTCAAAACGTAGCATTATATCATTTCTCATGCTGCTCAATATCAAAATGCAAGCTACACGATCCTTGCGTTTATAGGTTTGATATGCTTCTATATCAAGCTTGTGCTGAGCAGTGTTTCCTTGCTCAGGTTCAGTCATCGGTTGTGTGATTGTTTCCAGCATTTCTTGCTCTTCCAGGAGATACTTAATTTTACGATGCCAAACATCGTAATTCTTTTCACTTAGTTTGTCTCCATGGTTCAAATCAGCAATAATACTCTTAGATGCAGCCATATTAAGCTTTATTGACAAGAATTACAAATATTAGTATTTAGTACAATTTAATTGATATATTTTGCCACTCAATTCCAAATTAAATAAATAATAATCTAACACATACAATAGAAATGAAAAGAATGTTAAACACTTAATCAATTTCTATTTGTATGGTCTAATTATTATTGGAAATTTAAACGAGTGCAAAATTATAATTATTAGTTTCAACTAACAACTCCCACTAATATGGTTGCAGATATTATCATATATATGCATATAATGTAATTAAACTTGAATTACATAAATATTCAGTTCACAATTAAATAACCAATCATTTTTTTAAATACAATATTAAGAATAATAAATTTCAGAATTATTTTATATTTTAGGCACATAAGTAGTGTCTCCAATTACGTCATCTACTTCATAAAAGTCATCTCCTCCAAGTTCATTTTGCTCAAACCATGGAATGAATTTAGCAGCAGCATCCAAACGACCTGCGCTTCTTCCAGTGAGTCGTATACCCTTTTTGGCATACTAACATTCCCTCTCAAGTAGCATTTCATCTGCGAGATTGTTGAAATCTAAGGATTCCAGCCTATATTCCAACGATAGTCGCATCAGCATTCATTCTTCAGGTAGAGAATTGAGAACGATTAACATTTGATATTCTATGTAGAATTTATAAACACCACTTATAGCCAGTTTGCTCATTCAATGATACATATAATCAATGTGCTCTTGAATTTTGTGAACAGGATTAAAGGTATAACCCAACAAATGATACCAATGTTGATTAATTTGTTCTTGCCTATCCACAACAACAAAATATTCTAAAAGCACATAAATATTATATTTAATATTTAATTAAAGCATGTATCATCATATATATTAAAAAAATATGAAAAAATTAAGTAATTTATTTTAACAGTAAATTGACACTACTATTTAACAATTTATATTAATAAAAAATATTAATTTTTTAAATATTATTGTTAATATTAATAATTATTAATATATACTAGCTGCCACACATCTTTTAAAAGATGTGTTCATTCAATTTTTTTTTAATAACTGCCAAATGGCAGTTATCATGTAGCTAAATGGAAATTTACAATTTCCATTACCAAATCATTACCTGATGGGAATATCAAATGGAAATTAGTTTTCATTATCAATTCACTTAATTGCCGAAAAATAATTATTATTAATTTTTTTTAATTATCAAATGACAATTAATTAACTATCAAATAACTCCAATTGACTACGTAAATTGAAAATGAAAATGAAAACATTCCTATCTTCATTTTCATCGTCAATTTATACAGGAATTGATAAGAAAATTATTCAGTTACCATGCAAATTTTTTTTTCTAATTTATTATAGAAAAGACAAATTTATTATTAAATTACTTCATAAAATTTTATAAATTCAAAATTCTCAATAAAAAGAATTTTTTTAACACAAAATTTACATCTACCGTTCATATAATAGTAGATATACTGCATAAAAGCAATATTAAAAAAAAATATGGCTATGATACCAATGTAGATCGGAAAGAAAAACTTACTTGTGAAAATTCGTTTTCTTATTCTTAGATTAATTACTTCAGTGTCTCTTCAATTACTAGAACCAAAGTGATATTTTACAGTACGAACGTCTTTGTAAATCTTGTCAAGTCAATGCAGAGAATCAAGATGAGAGAAGAGAAAGATAGAACTTTGTTCTTTCAATAATGAAAACTTATATTATTTCATATGAGTTATGTCTCTTTATATATGATTAGAGGAGACGGTTACTTTTTTCAGTAACTTCTCTAATAACTTGGATTAGGCCCATCTATCATGGACGGACTACACCTAACCCAATAACCAACACAAACAAATCAAAAGGAGAGAAAATTTAAATGAAAATTCAATACCCTTTCATTAAAGAGATTAGTGCAGGAATAGAGGTTGTGCTTGTTCTCTGAACTAGAGGCTTCTATGGATTGGTCCACTGCTCTGCTTCAGGCGAATACTGTCAACTACAAAAACTTCATCTTGATTATTATGAGAAAAAATTTCTTCCATAATTTTATTTGTGCAGGTAGAAGACACATTGATCTGAATTTAATCTATCCACGAAATTTCCTTCATTGATAATTAATCTCTAGTTTTCTTGTTTCACAGGTGTAATGCCTTTCAGACTGCACATTGTCCCCCCATCCACAGTCAGTTCCATTGGCTGGCACGCAAAAGAGCATCCATATCTAAATCTGGTTAGCTTGATAAAAAGCCGTAGGTAGTTTATGGTACCATCATAACCCGGCACGCTTCATATTCTTTGAATCACTCTAGAGGTCAGGTACTGCCCGTCGTGGCCCTTGTTTATTTTTATTAATAGTTGCAGCAAATTTGTTGGCTAGGAGATCTGATTTGTAGCAAGGATCATATTGCACTATTCATTCCTGTCCACTGAAACCTTTATCTATGCTTTGAGCCCCAGCTGCATTCTTCAACCCCACAAACTCTTTCAGAATGAGTAATCTATGTCCTAGTAAAACCCCTCTATACTTGTAAAGCACCACTACCCTGATTAAATAGGAAACATCGATAGATAGTGGAATGATAACCAGTATCTTTCCTCCAACTTATCTCATCAAGCCAAGCTTCTACTATGTTTTTTCTTTCCTAGAAAGGGCAAGTCTAAGTAGGAGCTAGTACTTTGATCCCAAGATCTTGTAGCGAGGTTTTAAGAGCTTATAGCCATGTATGGAGTCCGTATATATCTTGACACAACAATCAAGTCTGCATGAGGGTTATTTTTGAACAGAGCGTCCACGACTGAGAGTTCCCTTGCTCTGAAGATTTTTGCTAATGAAAAGCCACATCCAGTGGAACTTTATAGTGCACTTATTGTCGAAAATTTCCAGATCTTGAGCATGAGATTTCTTGCTCAAGTCGTTCAAATTGAGAATATTGAGTTCTGGCAGCTTTTTTTTTTTTTTTTCCCCTGAACCTTCCAATCTTTTCTTGTGACATCTAAATTTACCAATTTCTTGCTTCCTGGCAACCAGTGGTATGCTTCTAAGTGGTGGTTGGTGTTGAATTTTGGTTATAAAAATACTTTGGTGGTTGAAAATTTCTCCATTTCTTAGGTCTATGGTGTATATAGAAAAAATTAGTGATGATACTGTCAGCATAGATCATGAAGAATATAGCATTAAATCAAGAGGTTAAGATTTGATTTTTGGCAGTATGGCTGCTTAGCTGGTAATTAGAATTTCGAGATAAATTTTTTTCAATGTCTTGAAAAGTAAATTGGGATAGAATTTTCGTGGAAGAGAAATTTTTCTTGAGGAACTCCAATGATAATTACACTGAAGTGCCAATACATGCATAGGATGGAATGGTTTTAATGGCAAGAATTTGTGTAGCTTAATCTGAACAAGTTGTCTGGGTTTGAACATTCTAAACGTGACAAGTCATTTAATAAAAATCATAGAGTGGTTGATCTGCATAAATGTGGAATATAAACATTTGTTTATGATCGTTTAAGCCCTGTAATGCAGGTTACAGAATGGATTGGTTGGGGACTCCTTATGGGGGTATAAACCTGCTACAATTTGACAAACTATATCCGTAGTTGCGGGTTTCAAGATGATATTCTGGTTTATTGGTATGCTATAAAACCTCATGTTTCATCCTGTTTCTGCATAAATTTGATGATTTTATTGATTCCATCTCATCTTCAAAAACCTCGGGAAATGATATCAGTACATCTTTTAGATTTTTATCTTGGTACGATTGGTTTAATGATTTTACAAGTTTACAACTTCAACAAGGGTGATTTCCGTTTAGTGAAGTTAAATTATATTCTGGTTTTTCTAAGTTAGCATTCATATAAATTTATATTCTGGTTTTTGTACCCTAGCATTCATGAATTCTCTTTCTTTTTCGTTGAGGTATTCCATTTCTTTTACTGCATTGTATCTTATTTTGCATGCAATGGTACAATATCCTGTTTAACATTTTAATCTACCAGTAAATTCTTAAAATCAGTCGAAGGATAATATGACATATGACTGCGAAATTTATACATTTGGTTTACGTGCTTACGAGATTGTCACCGTTATTTGGTTCCAGGATCAAAATGCTACTTGCTGTTCCTAGTGATGGTCAATCACGGAACTGGTTGAGCCTAGAAGCTCTCCAACCTAGTAGATGGCTTTCGGGTGAATCAACGAATTTTTCAGCCATTAACATTGATGTACTGATAAGAATTACCTCACAGACAAGACTCGCTAAAACTTGATGAATATCTAGGAACAGAGATTCAACATCCGGATTAGACAATTATTTCTAACAAAATCATCAGATTTATCCAATTTGGACGGGTTTTACCAGGAGTTTGTACATTTGTCTTGAGGGGATTGTTTATTAATGCATCTTTAAAATGCCTGAATAAGTTGTTATCATCTCGTTTCTCTTTCGAAGCCAAGAGTAGTTACTGTAAGCTTTAGTTCCAAACTGAATCTATTCATTCGAGCTAGCTTATGCATTTCTGATCTGACTGCCATTTAAATCAAGCAATAACTTGGAGATTAATACTCTCATAACCTCTGGATGATGATGTTCAAGACATGGATGTTATCAGATACCATAATCCTTCGAAAGACACGAATAATCTACTATTGAAGTCAACTGGCATGGTATCCTCTTCTGGAACTACCTAATTAATAATCAAGTCCAAAACAACGTAGGTGCACAAATGCAGCTTGCTATAAAATATATCCATGTTCAGCTCCTTTCTATAACCTGCAAATTTTCGTCAGGTATAATCTGGGTATGCAAACTCAAGGCATCGACAGCAGGTATGATTCTATCCACAGATCTATGGACAGTCAAGTGCCTGGATTATACCATCCAACTCTTCTGTCAATTTGTATCTGCTTCTGGATTTGTTTATTTATTTCCTTTCTAACCTCCACGACATTATCAATTACAGAGGTCATATTTTAGGGGTGTTGTTGTATCCCTTGTTCTGACATCGTATCTACTCTGCCAGTGCAATCTTGTGGAAGCCTCTTAACTTGACGCCCTAGGAAGTAACTTTACTCGGTGACCAAGCCCATCTTATGGCTACCATAGTCATTTCTTCTTTAAGATGATGAAGTAGGTTCGGCCACGGCCGTTGGTTTTTGAGCGAGGATTTTGAGATGAAAAATGGTAAAATGACTATCAGAAACGTTTCTAACCAGCTAAAAGGACACCCCAGGACTTCTGAATTCTCCATTATGTTTTTTGCGTATTTCTTTGGTCAAGAAGGAGAATGCATTTCTCATTAATGGTCTAAATGTGTCAGCATGAATGGTCTTCTTTTGACGGGACGTTTGATTTATATTTTTTTGGTCAAAGTATTATTGTTTTAATTTTTTAATTTTTTTTTAATAATTAACTCAGGTAAATTCAGGCTTTACTCCAGGTTTAATAAGTATAATTTTTCCTACCAGATTAAAAAAGAAAAAAGAAAAAGAAAATCCTGTTGTGTTGATTATCAGTATTGAACTCTGTCATATGAGCGAAACGCGTTGAAGATGGTATTGTTTTCATCTGGACGCAACCATTCATCTGCCTTTATTTCTGATTTTCTGCAATTATTTTCCTTGTGTTCGTGGTTTGACGAATACTTTCGATGGCTTGGCTTGTTTGCGAAGTAACCCTTAATAATTATTTCGTATTCAATTACGTTTCCAAGTTCAGGAGTGATTAATTTCAACTGCGGCTGTCTATTACAGAAGTGTCAAGGATTTGCTAGCGTTAGGCAAGTGATCTCTGCTCTTGTATTTTTATGCCCGAAGTGCCCACTTTGATTTCTCAAAGATACAGAATAGGAACAACATTTTGCTATGGCCGGCTTTCCTAAATCTCTTCATGGATTTTAGAATTAGCGGCATCTTGTTCTTCATTCTCTGCCTCTCTCAAAAGTAGCAGTGTGCCGGACTTGATGAAAGTTGAAAGCCTATCTCTGAGGAGATTATTTGACATGGAGCACACTAGTTTGGCAACCCATTTTCAGGATTCCAGTGGCTCGCCGATAATAAATCCTATCCCTCTATGGGGCAGTGATACTGATCCATGGGCATCCATCAGACAGACTGGGACTTCTGGGTCCGATGAACCTAGTAACTTTACTTCTGGCAGCAGCAGGCATGGCGACTACGAATCCAAGGATGGAAAGGCAAAGAAAAGCAATCGCAAGTTAACCAGGAAAAAATCGTTTCGGAGTTTGCCAGGACTTCGTTTATGGAGATTCAGGCGGTCTAGTGAAAAGGCTTAGGATTATGATTTGTGGTAAGATTTCCTGAAATTAGAATGTAACCTTAGTTCGTTTCCTGTTCAAGAAAAGAAAAGATCATAACCTTTTTTTACAAAATCAAAATGTTGAACGAAACAATCAGCTGCCCATAATTTGGAAGAAAGAATGATCTTGCAACTTCGTTGCAAGAGATTTGTTTTTATATTATTTACGTTGGAACAAAAAAATAATGAAAGATAATTAAAAGGGAGATAAATGGAATCAACATAGAAAACAAGTAAAACACCGACGAGTGTGCTCGTCTTTTAATCAACTGGAGGATCCTGTTGATTCTGCGTCTGATGATTCTGTACCGGTGCAGCCATACTCTACACATTTCTGTTCATAGATTTTCTTCAAGAACTGTATTTGTATTCGCAAATTACACAGTGATCTGATATCAATCTACCCATGACACTTCCTTCTTCAATGCTGAATTTACTGCTCTGCCTGTTCCATAAGTGTATCCCATAAGTCTCCCCACTTAGCTGAAGTAGCTTGGCATTTACCCATCTTGATTCTACTTTGTTTTCTGGTTTCTTGAAAAAACCACCGATCCTGTTCCAGCCAACTGGATAGAATGCCATTGGAGGCAAGATTGTAAAGTTATACCCCGGTCTTTCAGCCACTTTCTGCACTACTCTGGAAACCAAATAGGGCCCATTATGCCCCCATTTGTTTCCATCAAAAGTCGAAGCAAATTCTTCTATGAACTTGAGTAGAAGTGGATGGTTCATATCAAAGACAAGAACCGCATTGTTCAATCTGGTCCAACTCCTGGACACATCAATGCTTTGTGCTCCAATTGCGTTCCTCAAGTCAGCAAAACTTTTCAGGACAATGAAATCTGTATCCAAGTAAATCCCTCCAAACTTGTATAAGACTGCAAGTCTAATGAGGTTTGATAGATTCTGAGCCAAAGGAATTTCACCAGGGTCTTTGTTCCCACTCTTTATCTCCTCAAACCAAGTTTCAGCTGGGGTGTTCTTGAACAAAAAGGACAAGTCAGGTGTGATTGCAGCAACTTTGAACTTGCGGTCAAGAAGTGGTTTCAGAATCCTATACCCTTGTATGGAATCCAGCTCTCTTGATAGAATCAATAAGCAACCATGAGGGTGGACTTTGAACAAACTTTCCAGGGCCAGGAACTCCCTTCTTCCAAAGGATTCTACCGGCGAAATCCATGTCATGAAGAATTGAACATCGCACTCACTGTTGAAAAACTCAAGAACTCGACCGAGAAATTCCTTGGTCAGGTTGTTTGACTTCAAAATCTCAAACTCCGGCACCTTCTTCCGAAACCATTCGATTCTTTCTTCTACTGTGAGGCTAAAAGGCGGAATTACAGAACTCTGATGTTCACTACGATCAACTTCCTTAATCTCTTCTTGCATAGAACGAAGTGGTTGCTTAATGACAGTAGACATGATTTGTCTTTCAGTTATGCGAACATGTAGCTCCCCAGAAATTTCGTTGGTGCTAGCAGAAGATGATAGTAAGGCAATGGTAGAAATGATACCGTTTGCATAGACAAAAAAGATCGTAGCAGTGAATGCTATGGCAGACAGGATAGGGGTTCTGGCACGACAAAGTTGCTGGTGATCAAACATCTTGTGAGAAACTTTTCTCATCATGGCTGTTGTTGAATGAAAGATATGGATATGAATATCAGGGATATAAATTCTATAGAAGAAATGTCAGATGTGAAGGATCTTTCCCAGTGGTTGTGAATTACATGAAGATAGAAGTTCCAAGGAGGCTGCGACACAAAGTCTGTTGAATATTCGTGGCTAGTCTAAAATTTTGTGCTGTGGTCTGAGTTTGAAATATTCTTCTAAGCCTGGTTTATGCCCCCAAAAACCTAATTAATTACTCTAATTGATTTATAAATAACACAGAAGCACAAGAGGGATTTTAGTCAATTAATTACTCTAATTAAGTCATCCTTATGATAATTAAATATTATAAAATAAAAAATATTCGGCTGAAATTCTTTAACTTGGAGAAGCTGCCAGCACCAATGACACAGCTCAAGACTTTCATTAATTTTAAGTTTTGGAAGTGATTATATTTTAAAGTATTTTTTATTTTAAAATATATTAAAATTTTATTTTTAACATTAACACATCAAAACAATATTTTATCCTCAATATCAAACAATATCCAAGACAAGAAGACGAGATGATTAAAATATGTGTCTCATCGATCTTGTAATCTCAGGCAAACTACAATGTTTTACATGTCCTTAATTTAATCAATATTTAATTCTTGGTTGCAGATTCATTTGATTGGATGATCTCTAGCATGATCTGACCCCATGTTCGGTTGATCTTACCTTAATTTTCATATAATTCACCTCGAAAGATGGCCTCCCAGGAAGGCACAATTAATAATTACGGAAAAAAATATATCAAATAAAGTAAACATATATTAGATAAATCGGAAAGTATGATTAAAAAAATCAGATGTAGTAAAAAAAAAATTCGATCTAAGATTAGTGAGAAACAGAAGAAAAAGTCTTGCCGCTGGTGATTAATCCACTAATTTCCATTGAATTTGTTCAATGAATGAGTTTTTCATTTTACAGGTTATTCTTTAGTCTCTAGATTTTAAATACAAGTATAAATTAATTTATTGAAAATCTATAGTTTATTCTTATAATTTTCGTTGACCATTTTTGTTTTATTAAAACATCTAGATTTTCTATGGAATCTCTCGTTATATGATTTTCTTCATGAATTTAAATTGTCAAATGATATATTGGGATTTAGAAAAAAAAAACTAACAAATATTTTAATAAATAAAAACCTAAGAAACAAACAAAGTTTAAATCTTTCAAATGTATAGTTCAACCCAGAGACAAAAATAATAATTTTTACTCAAAATCACATATCCTTTTCCAGTCGATTCGCCGTTATATCCATTTAATGGTGTGAAGACAGGTTGGCCTCTCAATCTAGGTTTAGAATTTCGGATCAGCATATATATATATTATGATTGACCTGCACCATTTTACAGATAATTAAGTTTTTGTTTATTTTTATAGTTTATTTTAAAAGTATAGTTAAAATTTATTTTTTTTATGTTTTCAGATGATTTTAATGTACTAATATAAAATATTATTTTTATAAAATAAAAAAATAATATATTTTTAAATAAAAAACACTTAAAAAAAACAGTTAACAGATATCCCTTTAAATCATTTTGGTCTCCATTATTTGGCAGAGGAAATGTCACCAACACCAATTTCATAATATTATTTTTTTCGAAGAAAAGTTAATTATCAAGTGGATTAAGAAAAATAGCGAGAGGACACCATATGAGTGTCACACACTCTCGGCATCCCATTATAATTAAATCCAAACACACCGACAAAGTATGTTCTGAATGTTTTATTAACAAGTTGAACCGAAAAAGGACTTAATTTTGTTCTAAAATGATCTAAAAACAACTAGCCACCTTCCTAGTACGTGTTTTGTGTTTGGTTGTGGATAGAATTAAAAATTAATTTATAATATATAAAAATATGTAGATGATGTTTATTTTTTAATATAAAAAATATTAATTTGAAGTGCAAATTGAAAATTTAACGTGTGTTTTTTTATAAAAATAAATCAATAATTGAATAATAATTAATATATCTAATCTCGTGCAATGTGAACATATTTAATTTTTCTTATTTACTCTAATGAAACAAAATTTAGCTATTTGAAATGAGAAGAAAAAATGTATTTCTCCTATCTAAATATTTTTTTTATTAATGCACTCCAAATTGTTTTTAGTAAAAACATGCTTTAAAATGTGGTAAAGTTATATAAAATTGCAAGTACTGTTTTTTAAATAAAAATCCATCTTGGTTTAAAAAAATTAATAACAAAACATTCAAATAAAGTCTGAGTATTTTATATAGGATTAAAGTGAAAAACAAATGTGATAATGTTATTTAAAAAAAGCCATTAAAAAATTTAAGAGAACTAAATTCTATTTTAATTGAATATTCATTTGTTTTTTTCATATTAAATATATAATAATTGAAAATAATATTAATATTCCCATAAAAACCCATGAAAAACTTGAATAATGATTTAAATATAATGTTAATTTTTCATAGTGAGTTCAAATGTAAATAAAAAAGTTAAAATTAAAAAATATCATCAAAAAATCAAAGTTGATTGGGGTGTACTGCACGTGCCAACAAATAAAATCCATAATCTTTTGGTATATGTAACATCACTTGACATCTAAACAATAATTCTCATGATGGCAATGTAAGAGTCGAGACGTCTCATTTGGTGTGTGGTGACACGTGTAATTATTAAAAAGCATTGTATTACTTATAATTATTTTTTTCTCTCTTTAATCCTTTTAATATTTACATTGTTTATTTAAAATTTCAGAGTTATCCTCTCATTTACTAATATTTAAATTTTTATCATTGTTATTTTATTTCTAATTTTTATTCTTAATTCTTTAATTAAATTTAGATTTTTTTTTCAATTTCATCATTGAATCCATAACCATAATTTATTATTGTTTTCAAATATAATCCTTATTATTTTGATTTTGATTTCTTTTTTTTTTTTAATATTTTTGTAAATTTATTTTTTCTTTTCAATCCCTTCCTTCAATTTAAAATTTTAGGTTGGCCTCTTATTATTATTTTTATTTCAAATTTGTTTCTAATTCTGTTAGTTACTTTTTTTTTCTTTGGTATAATTATTTCTTTTCAATTTTATCATTTGATATTTGATTTGTTGAAAATTAAGTTTGGTGGTTTTTTCAGATGAAACGCTATAACATAGCGATTCAAGCCATGATAAAAAAGTTAACATGGGTTACATTGTTTATTTTTCAAAATGGGTTTCATGATTTTCTTTCAATCAAACTATCTTGATCTCATAAATTAAGTTACAAGTTTGATTGGTTGACTTATATATTTTTTTGAGTAATTTTTTTATATTTATTTTTAATTTCATCCTTCACAATTGAGTTCTTTTTAAAATTAACTTTTATTATTTTTCTCATTTTACTTTTTATTAAGTTATCTTATTTGTATGATCTGACTCACAAGGTTTGACGATCTTATCTATATTTGTAGGTGTTTTATTTTTTAGGCCATTTTTTGTAACAAATTTTATTTTTTATTTTT